TTTTCATCTCTCCATATTGTCGGAAGTTTGACTTCTAAACTTCCTTCGACTACTACTACTACTACTACTACTACTACTGCTACTGCTACTGCTACTGCTACTGCTACTGCTACAATTACAGCTACACGATATTGCACTACAATACACTAAACTGCAATACATTACAGCTACAAATACAACTACAAATACAACTACACTACCTTCCACAACGCTGCACTACACTATATAATCACATTACATTACACTACAACTGCAACTACCACTATATTGCGCTACACGACACTTCACTACAACTACAACTACACTACTTTACACTACAGTACACTAGACATCACTAGACTACACTACACTATACCACGCTACAGTACACAACACTACAGTACACTACAATACACTACACTAATTACACCACACCACAACTACAACTGCAACTGCAACTACACTACACTAATACACTACAACTACAACTACAACTACAACTGCACTACACCACACTACATCCAGCAGTTGTGGTGAGGTGACCACTGCAACCATTGCAGCCTCTCCAGAGAACACAACTCCAACCACCTTTCGGTCCATCAGTGGATTCGCTCTGCCATCCGTAATTCACAACAAACAACCTCTCCTATAGGTTTATATACTATTTTTGAAACTTCCGCCACCGCCTTGTGTGGCACTACTGGTATACTAGCCAGTTTATGCCGACGACAAATATTGATATACTGAAAGAATTGCCATAGACACAGACACGGGGCTCAGGGAGGTAGGGGTTGTCGGGGCTAAGTCTGATCTCGTCGGTCATACAAAGATGTCGGAAAGAGTTGTCGCTCAAGACCTCACAAGAACCTTCGTGTTAGGACGGCTGGTGGTTCGGAACGAGAAACACGATTCTTAAGAAACTGGCACAACCAACAGAATGACAAGCATCTATGATACACTGAAATGGTGGAAGCTTCCTGCTCATCGTTTCTAAGTGAAACCATTCATCAATAGGACCTGTTGTGCAAACATCCCTGGCATGCCCGTTTTGTGCTTTAAAGTACGAGATAATATCATGTCCAAGGGATTTTGCTGATTTTAATCCCCTGATATGTTGCTGAAACTTGGCGGCATCACTGACGCCCTCACTGGCCCCTGCATTGTAGCACTGAAGCTGCTTCCAAATGTCCGAGGTAGGCTTGCCCAACACCTTGGATGAGCCAGGTGGCGCTGAGGCAACACAATTTGTTTTTTGAGTTAGGTGCCGAAAAGGACCTGCTCACATCCAGGCAAGATCATTTCTGTGTGACATCTAACAATGGAATCAACGTGTCCTTTCGTCACCATGGGATAGACACTCCTGACTGATGTGCAGGCCTGTAATACGAACATCCATCAAATGCAATCACAGCAAGACTGTGCTATGAAAATGAGCTCAGCTGCATCCTGCGTGAACTCGAGCTCAGCGCCAAGATGCAATCATCGCCAAAGGATCAGTAGAACCAGCTCGGCAGGAGCACTTGGTCTGTTTCTAGTTGATCTTTAGAGAAGACTTCCAGTATGGTTCACTCAGCAAGTCATGTATGCGCAGCAAAGCAGCCAACTCAAGCTTTGCAAACTGCAACACATACAAAGCAAAGAAGATCCGGTTTCTAAATGCAATTTCATAATTGTCAAATCACAAGCTGGCCATCTGGCTGGAGCAAAGAAGCTGCATCGAATTCGCAGTAGTATCAGTGATACAGTAGTATCTCAGACATGGCAATGCTTGAGTTACATGAGAGAGTGCCAGCGTTACATGGCTAGGGCCCATTCCAAGCAGCCAAAAAAATTGAGTCCCAACTGTGGCTTTCCTGGCGTTTCGGGGCTATCAAAGCTTGAGTTCACCATCTATGGCGTCATATGGCGTCTATGACGTCTATTGACACCAGAGATCACCAGGATTCTGCGATTCCGACCTCTTCACACTTCTGCTTGAAAGCCTTGTGAGCAATGCAGCAATGCAGATCAGATAGTCTATGACAGACTCTATGACAATCATGCAAAATTCAATCTTGGTGCTAGCGCAATGATTTGAATCGGCTGCCTGCATGTCCATTGCCATGGCTCGCTGGCCTGGCAGTCAAGGGATACATCTTGCAACATCAAGCCACAAGCGCCACAAGCCATTGGTTTCCTCCACTCAAATACTGTACATCTCATGGATACACTCAAGCCCATGGATCGAAAGAGGATAAAAATGTGTCATATTGAATTTACAGACCAATGCGGGATGGCCTCCAACATGTTTGAACATCAAAGAGCATCGGTTCCAACCGCTGTTTTGCCGCAGCATCGCGCATTGATGTCCCCCCGGCAGCACTCACTGCAGTTGGAGGGGCTGACATGAAACATTGCATAAGATGGCTAAACGATTCTAAAAGTCCAGGATCAATTTCGCACCGTCTTTCAAAGCTTCAAGGATCGTGAAGAAGACACAGGACTCCATCCCGATTTGCAGTGCTCTAGCAGCTCCGCCCTGGAAGAACCCTGCGACCCCTTCAGTTTGGTAAATTGATTGTGAAGTACGCACAAAAGCCGCCAGGATATTCTCCTCACTCTCCTCCCCCTCAGATGAGCCACCGAGCTTCAAAAAAAAAGCTCGTAGAGTTCGACCCAGAACTTGGAAAAAAACAAAGGATTAGACACGAGCAGAGATCCGAAACAAACATCCAAAAACAAGTTTTACCCAAAAAGTACTGACCCGTTCTAAACAATGTGCGGACCCTTTGAAGGTTTTCAGACACAAAAATCGCCCCCATCAAATCGGAAAATACAGGGGTGTCATAGGGTGTCCGTTAGACTCCCATCGCATTTCCGACGATGCTCATTGTGTTCGTCCTGATGATGGCGGTCTTGGTCTGTCAGGAGGACGGAGAGGATGAGATCGGGAGGATTGGTCAGCAACCCAGTGATAGCACCAGAAGCAGCGCCCCAAACCACTGGTTGCAAGCTGAGGGGTAGGCCATATTGGACCAACTCCAGATTCTCATGCAGAAAATCATATAAGGAATACCTGCCAGCTGATGATGCTGATTCTGCTTGGGTAAGGTGGTGATCAAGGAGGCCAAAAATGTGGCATATCATTGCAAACGTGAAATTCCTGCCCTGGCTTAGTGATTAGGGGATTCGTGAGCATCAACCCAATCTGCAAAAATCAAACAGTATCAAAGATATTCAAAGATTGGCAATATTCCTCTCCTTACCATGGTGGATTTGAGTCCCAAATCTTGCCAGCTGATTTGCCCAAGAATGTAGAACACCCTGCTAAAGTCGCTATTTGAATGAGCGAAATAATGACAGTGGTCAATCAATGTCAATCATTAGATTTAGGATGATCTTATGTTCTTCCCAAAATGTTCAACCCATGTCCCCAGTCTTTGTTGCCGATCTCATCTCCCTTGGTTCATCTTGCTTCCAAGGAACTGCAGCGCGCCAAAAGGCAGGCCTCGGAGGAGGACCAAGCCCCAGGAGCGCACCAAGTTTTGCTGCAGCATCTCCCGGTCAGACAACAGCGTCTTCACTGCTTCCTCTTCCGTCTCAAAAATTCCGGTCTGCATCTGCCGGCTCAGCAATTCAAAGGGAGCCCTCAGAAAGGTTCCTGGAAAGTAAGCCAAAGCACCTGCTGGTATCATCACCAACAGCTTGAGGTCGGGATTGTTTGCATCTATGAAAGGCAAGAGGCAGAAAAAGCGTGTAATGCTATTGAAACCAGAAATGTACAGACTTTTGGCTGGAATCTCCCTGGCCAGTGTGCTCAGCAAGCCACTGTAAAGGCCACTAATAGTCTGAGCAATGTCCTTTTCCTGAAACACCTTCTGGCCTGCTTGCACTCTTGCCTTGATGGTTTCCAAGGGATAGGTCAAGCAGCATGTGAAAAAAGTTGCAAGTCCGGCCATGATCAAATCCAGCACTCGGTTCTGCTCCGTAGTACGTGTCAAAGCAATCCAACTCTGTGGAAAAGACTTGACTTCTCGAAAACTCCTGACTTCGGAACCACCCAGCAGGGGGTTGGGTTCCAGCTTCACTGTGGCCGTAAGCTGGCCGTACAACCAAATCACTCGACCCATCTTCCCCTTGTCAGGACCTCGGATCACTAGCACTTCATCTCGAACTGCAGGCTTTTGTACAGCAGAGGGTGTATAGACCAGTTGCGCGTCTGTGACGTCTTTGTATAAGACCTCCGTGCTTGTCATGGGATCATAGCCCTCGTAGAGTGCGGCAGCTTTCAGATACCGATCGTAGGCCACTGACATTTCTGCAAAGGCTTTCTCAGTTCCTCTGATGTTTTTATTGTTTACACATGCATGGAAGTCGGTCAATGCTTGGTGGAATTGTCTCAACTCAAAACGCAATGCAGAAACGATTTGTTCCTGCTGTGGAGTTGGGTCGGGATATGTTCCTTGCATAAAGAGCTCCAGCAGCTTCTCGTAGGCTTGGAAAATCATGACATCTGAGGAAAGGCTCTCCCAAAACTCGGTGTAGATGTCCTCCTGTGTGACGTCCAGCAAATAGCTCATGTTGCGAATCCTGGTGTTGGAAGGTTGCGAAAACCGCCCGTTTGAAGCTGACTAGTGACTAGGAATTCAGTTCTCCCAACCTACTCTAAAAGGTTGTATCATCCAGAGCTAGGAGCTGTCATCATTCCCATGTCATTTTGTTTCAGGGTGGGTTCTCCCATGTCACCATGTCGCTATGTTTCCCACCCGGTGCCTCTTGGCTACAGAGGCAGATGCCGGACCAACCTTACGCGAAGACTTTTCTGCAACAAGTGCTCTGACTCTGTCAGCCACCTTGGAGTACCAGGCAGCATAAGTCACTGTTTCACTGGAAAGCATCGGAGAACTCACCGAAATGTAACCTGAGACTCCCAGTGCAAGGAGAAGGCAAACAAAGGATGTAGACAAAACCACCTTCGTGGCATCCCAGGGTTTTGCCTCAACGGTCGGCTCTTCAAATGGCCGCTGGGGTCCGGGACCGCTCTCACCCGCAGCGCAAGAGACTGATCTCTGGAGACTCCTCTGGAGACTCTGAGGTCCCAAAAAATTCACACCAGGGATGTCTGGCTTCGTGTAGGTGACTGCAACACACAAAGCGAGCGGCCACCACTGAGCAAGACGTCCAAGACGTCTAAAACGCCAAGCTGCATGCAGAGGTGGAGGTTTCCCAGGTCGGCGCCTAAAACCTCCATTTGGACCGGGTTGCCTCATAGGGCATATGGCTGCATTGAAGAAACATCGGTGCTAACATCGAATCGAGCCCCCACAGCTGCAGCCAATTGTTTTTTTCCTGTGCTCTGCCTGCCCTTCAGCGTGGGTACGGATAAGAATCTAGGTTCCAACAGGCCTGCCGATTTGCATATGTCACATATGACAAGAAAATTACTTTCGTCAAGAGCTCCCCACCATGGCATTCTATCACATATATTTTGACATTCTATCTGGCATTCTATCTGAGTGACATTCTCTCTGACATTCCATCGGGCATTCTACCTGACCCTCTTCTGATGACATTCTATCTGACATTCTATGCGACATTTTGCACTCACTCTCGCAGTTGAGGTCCGGCAGTGGCTAGTGAGCTCTGACGCTCGCCGTTGAGGTCCGGCAGTGCCCACTGACATCTGGCACCTGCGGTTGCATCTAGCACTTGCGGTTGAAATCCAGCAGTGCCCACAGAGATCTGCTCGCAGTTGAGGGTCCGGCAGTGCCCACTGAGCTCTGGAGCTTGCGGTTGAGGTCTGGCAGTGCCCACTGAGCGCTTGCAGTTCACGCAGAGGCGGAGTCCGAGGCGGAGGAGGTCTAGGCGGAGGCGGGCAGCACCTCTGCCAAAATCTAGTGACCCTCACCTGGCAGGTAGGGAACAAATGGGTTTAGGAATGGAAATACTCGAGCAGTGCTGACTAGTGCAAGACCGCTCCAAGCAACAGCGTGGCCTGCGCCACTGCAGGTGCTGCAAGAGCTTTGCAACACACCTGGGCGGGAACCATTCATTAAGCATCAGCATTTTTACCTGAAATGCAGAAATGCACGAGAAACTCCAGCTGGTCAGGCCATGTCTTCGGATTCGATGGCAGCGGCGCCTTTTTCAAGCCAAGTTGTGGATGAGAAGGCAGCAACAATGCGCCGCGTTACAAGTGCTACCTTGAAACAACAATTGGAACCGTCAAAACGAAGTTGGAAGGCAAAGGGCCCCGAGGCCACACCCCGGCGAAAGCAGCTTGGAAACAAAGAGCTGCAACGGCTGGGCGACCAAGAGTCACCAAGGATGAATGCCTCGTGTGGGCCTTAATACCTTGAAACATTTCCCATGTTTTGGTGCTTCCACTTCTGTATCTGCAGGTTGGCGTGTGCAACTGCAAGGCTGATGGGCTTTTTTGTGGACAAATCACCGAAGTTTTCCAACGTGCCCATAGCGCTTCTCCCTGCCAAATCTTCTTCCGACAGCCCGTGCAAGGAAGCATCCCAGGATCGCTAAGATCATGGTTTCCATTGAATGGCCAAGGCTTTGTTTTGAGGTGCTAGGAACCGGGCCACCAGGAAGCATGAAACAAGTCGCCAAGGGAGCACGGGGCAAGAAACTGGCCATGTGCGCATTTCTAGATCTGTAAGCTACAGCAGCTACAGGTCTGGCACCGTTCACCAGGTAGCCGTGCCGTTGGCCCATCTTTGGACCATCTCTTCCCTGTGCTGCTCCTCCCACCACACTGGTGGACCCCGCCCGGTCCTCCGTGGGTTGGGGTAATCGCATGAGGCGATCGATTGCCATGATGAAACCGCTGGAGAGCACCAGGTTGGCAGCCAAGCTCAACACTGCCACGGCCACGGCCGGGCCCTGCATTCCGAGGCCCAGTGAGATGGCAATGACACCGGCTCCCACTTCACCTCTGGGACACATCCCCAGGGATAAGGCCAGTCTCGTGCGCAAATCCGCCTCTTTCCGGTAGCACGCAAGGAGCATCATCTTCCCAAGGACCATCAGGATGGAGACCACAAAGACATGCCAGGCGGTTTGAGCTGCCGTGAGGTGTCCTTGCACTGAGAAAAGGGATGGCATTGACATACCAACCAACAGCATGAAGAAGGTGGACACCACATCTTTCACCTTCTCTTCCCAGCTTTCATCCAGGATCTCACAGTCCGGGTCCACAGGCCTGCAAATCCGTGTCATGCAGCCCATGACAAAGGCAGGGAGCAGCACCTCAATGTGTACCCGTCCACTGGTGTAAAAACACAGACTTTCACAGGCGCATGTGATGACGGCGGCATAGACCATGGTCCATCTCCATGAACTTCGCAGTCGAATCTGATGAAGATTCTGCCAGGCCAACAGTAGGCAACAGGAAACAAAGATGGCGTCCACTGAGAGTTCCCATTTGAAGCCAACCAAGTACATCTTCAAGGGGATCATCAGCAAGATTGTGTCAAGGTCGTCGAAGATTGCCAGGACTTGTGCTTTTTTGAAGAGCCAAGTTTCTTTGAAGCCGGCGGCTTCCAGCATATTGAAGAGAATGCCCGCACTTGTGGGTGCAGCAAATCTGGCCATCAACAGAGCTGAGCCCCAGGCAAGGCCAGAGTTTGGCAGGGCAAAGTGTAGCCAAAGTGCTACAAAGATCCATGGTAGACCAGCTGCCGACATGGCAACCAAGTAGTCTTTTGCATAGCTTCCTAGTTTGCTTCTCTCAATCACAAACTCCCGGCCCACGTTGACCATCAGGAAAGATAGGGAGAACATGGTCATGAGTGACACCACTCGGGCATACATCTTGTACTCTCCAAAGTTGAGATGTCCTGCAGCTGCTTGGGAAATGCCTAAGCCCAGCAGGAGCATCCCAGTGTAGGTCAACAATTTCGTCTTGCCATTGGCGCTTTCATCTGCCATGTCTGCAACGACACCGCAACCGCGATTTTTTGGCCGTCTCAGTCCTTTTGAGTCACAATGGGAGTGTTCATCCCAAAGCCTGAGCCAAAAGTTGGCATATGCGCATATCCTAAGAAACAGAAGCAGCAACTACAATGGCTCAACACATCGTCACGAAACCGAGCTGGAAAGTGACCTGGAAACTCGAGATACAGAAAAATGATGAAAAGTAGTTCGGTCTTTTGGGAGGTTTCCAACAACTAAATCCTGCATGAGCAATTGCTAAAATTGCCACCACTGCCACACAACTTAGCATCCAACTGCATCTCAGTCGCGCAGCATGGCCATGGCATAGAACACACAGTAGGTCAAGAAAAAAAGCTTCGGTGGTATCCCCAACAGCCGCAACGTTTTATTTTTACAAATCTTTCTGAAGCGTGCTGGGAAGCCAAGCGCTGGAAACACCTCAGCTGATTTTCCGTGAGTTAAATGAACCTGACCTGGCTTAGTTTCTGCAACCTTCTCCGGAACCCGTTGAACCTGACTTGGCTGTGCACCAAGGCTTCCTGGAACCTTCTCCGCAACCTCCGGAACCCTGTTGAACCTGACCTGGCTCTGCACCAAAGCCTCCCACACCTTCTCCGGAACCTTCTCCGAAACCCTGTTGAACCACCTGGCTTTGCACCAAAGCCTCCCACACCTGACCTGGCTCTGCACCAAAGCCTCCCAGACCTTCTCCGGAACCTTCTTCGGAACCCTGTTGAACCTGACCTGCACCAAAGGCTGCCAGACCTTCTCCGGAACCTTCTCCGGAACCTTCTCCGGAACCTCGTTGAACCTGGCCCGGCGCCTGCACCAGTGCACACCGGAGCTATTCTGGGCTGAAGACCCCATTAGCTTACGCTGTTGGGGAATAAAAACAATAATTCCGTAGGTCTCCATGGTGGACTGAGGGATGAAGAAGAATCAGCTCCCACGGCAGGTTGGGGCAAAATGCGTCTTGTTTTGCTGGGGGATGTCCTTCACATATAAAGGAGACTGCAACGACTGCAATTTCTGTGTTCTTCTACACCCCTCCAACGGGCCAAACTCGATCAAGCGAAGCAAGTGTTGTCACAGTGTTGTCAAGCCTTTGTAAGACATGACGGGCACGTTGGACATGCAAAGAGAGAGATGAATCATGAAATCACTGCTGCTTTTCTTCCAGCCAGCGACCGTTGGCATCCGTCGCGCGTGTCTCAAACCAACAAGGGCATCAGCTGGCTCATGAACAACTCTTTCATGTTCGTCTTGGCTCGGCTTGGTCACTACTTTGAAGTCATTATCAATGAGACCTATCGCAATTGAAAGCACCTCTGAATTTGCAGCTCAAGTAACTCTCAAGAAGTATCATCAATCACGAAACCAATGTTGCCTCGCTACCAGCACGGAAGCCGCTCAAGTGGCTTGTGAAGACGGTACGCCTTCAGAGTGAGGCCGCAGGTGCATTTCAAAGTCCAGGCAACATTCAAAGGACGTAACAAGAGTGACGCCAACTTGAGGCCCAGGGGTAAGGGACGAAAGCTAGCTTGGCAGGGAGCTTGGCATGAAAACACAATGATGCTGATGCTGAGGATGCGGATGCTGCCGGATTTGCTGCCGGTGGCGACATGCCGACGGTGGCGGGGAGGGTAGTTAAGTATGAAGTTTCATGCGATTGGAGATTCCAGTCCCCCTCAAAACCTTGCTAAAGCAAGAGGGACTTCAGCTAGCAGAAGCTACAAAATGCGACCAATGTGAAGTCACCATTCGCCAAAAAAACATCAAGCCTTTGACCCTTACCACTGCCTCAAACACACGTCGTGCTCTTCCAACTTGTCGCCACCTAAAGCATGGCTAAGATTTACAGCTTCTCTTCCAAGTCATCACATCGTTGGCAATTGCAGTTGCTATCTATTCCAGCTCATAAAGGTGCTTTGGTCTGCATGACAGTTCCAAATACAGAAATACAGCACACAGACATATACAAGCAACATCAAAAAAGTAAGAAGTGCAAGGATACATACCAAATGGGTTTGTCCGAAAACAGTGTCCCAAAAAATGTTATGGCTGATCACCATTTTCGCTGTCAAAATACCCATCAAATAGCGCATCCCCCAGTTTCAAGCCCAAATGCTGTGTCCCGCACACAGCGCTCCCAGGTACGGCTTTGCCCGTGTCAGCCACGGTCCACGTTTCGGAGGCTTCCCGTGGGAGAACTTGGAAGTCAGCGGTGGACACCACTGAGAGTGCCAAGTGCAGCCTTGGAGGAAAAAAGGGCTGGTAACTTGGAGAAAAACTGTACTATGTTTTGACTGAACTGCTTTGACTGTGAGGCCTATCCACATGGTTGATCTACATATAGTATATATATGGATACATATGGTATGACATTGCCACGCTCAAAACGTGGCGACTCCCAAAGGGTTATAGATGGGTCAAAACCTGGTACCCGGCTGAACATCCCAAGAATGCATAAAAATGCTCCGATACCTCATGCACTCATCCACCAGAGTCCAGTTTTGTCTTTGCATGTTATGTTTGCATATCTTTCTTAGGGAATTTATTGGAATCCAATGAGTGCCTTGGTGACCTCAATTGTGCACACCAAGCGCCTGGCGGCATCCAGTCCTGCGAGCTCCGTTCTTTAGATTCACTGATTGACATTCAAATCAGTTAAGATTGTTCATTTTCGAGGGCAAACTGGTGTTTTTTTGTAGGAAACAGCACAAACCACATATATATATATATATATATGTGTAAACGCCAAGGAAAGGAAGAATTGATATGCATCAAAACCATAGATTATATGATATATAATATATATATATGGTATGACACACACAAATTCCGGTCTTGTCTCTTTTACTGCAGATCTGCAAAATCCGGAACAGGATATTCAATGATATTCACCTTGTCATTACACCAAGCGCATTGCCGCTCATTTTGGTGGGGAACTGGCCACCCACCCCGAACATCTCCTGTATTGCTTCTGCCGCCTTGTACACTGTATCTAGCTCCTGGCAATCGTACAGTCTTGCACTGTGACAAGACAGAAGCGATTCTTCACAAGGGTTCCCACCCCGTAGTGAAAATGTTTCTTGATACTTGATACTGGCTTCCAAAGGGGTGGCTTCCTTAGTTGCTTGTGACAAAAGGTCAACTTTCCAGTCACAGCATCAACATGCACGTAGAAAGGGCTTCGAAATGAACTCCCTGAGAGCAAGAGGCTTCAAAATTGGAAAGATCTGTGGCCGTGGGCTTTCACTTTTCTTCTGGATTGCTACTTGAAGAATTCATGCCTGTGATTGACGGTTAGTTAAGGATATCCACACATTTGCATGAGCAAGCAAGCCTGTGGCTCCTGCATACATCCAAATGTTGACCTTTGCACAACTCAAAAAAATCGGTCCTCCCACTTCTCATCCAAAGGAGAGTTGCACCAGTGGAACCTCGAAGCAGCCGGGGTTCCACAGCTCCAGGGTGGTTCTATATACGACATATGCCGCATCGGTCCCGTGGTAGGTTCCGGACACTTGCATCCGAGAAATGTGACCATACCAGCCAATCCATCCAATCACAACCTGTGCTGCCAAAGCAAGCTGAAGTTGTGGGTTCTTACGGGATATACCAAAAAATGCATCAATGGTCCACCAAAACTTGACACTCTCAATCTCTTTCAAGACTTCCGTGGGTTACATTGCGCATTCCAACCTTGTTGCCATCCTCCATCACACCAACCCGCACCTGACCAGAGCGCCAAAGCTCTCATGGATTCTCCGATGACCCATGGATCCCATCTCTGGCCCCACCTTTGGCAGGTCCTTGGGTGCAAACGACACCCCCAACTCACCCTCAGGGATGCGCAGTGGCGAGCCCAACAGCACCTGACTTGAAGATGTGCCTTTGATGCTGGTTTCATATGGTTTCATGGTAGTTTCATGAAAGTAAATGCCACGAAATTGGAGACTTATAAATTCATGGCTTTCAAGAATGAAGTGTTCTGTTTTTCCTGGAAAACCACTAGTTGATGCTTGAATCTGTAGGCTGCGCAAACTATGATTGAGATGATATGTCAAAATTGAAGACCTGCTAACCTACAAATATACCGAGGATCTTAGTAGACTAGACCCAATATGGACAAGGCTATGAAGGTCAGATCCAAACTGACAGGCAGAGAAGTCTGACCCATGACCCCTGTGACGCCAGTGGTACGGCAACTTCAGGCGCTGACGTCAAGGCCTCGCTGATCAATCTCGTATTGGTGCTCGTGGTACCTGGCTCGGTCATGAAACCTCCCGCGGTTTATCATCATTTTCCTCACTGTTTCCCTTTCCAGAGATCCCAGATTTCCGGACTAACCCATCTGACATCATCTGACTGTTCCCTCCTGACTGTGGGGAAAAAATGCCCAAACTAAACTAAACTATTGATGAATCAGTTTGGTCCATTGAAGGTGCAGCTCTCAAGAGACTTTGGCAAGTTCGATCAATGTAAGAGACCCAGTCAAGCAAGACGGCCAAAGGACTCGATTCTTTTTCGATCCACTATCAGCGAGGACATTTCAGCAGCCAATTTTCCTTGTCTCTGTTGAACCTGCTGATTGGTAATTTCATTCAGTTGGTGCTGCTGCAGTGTCCTGGGGTCTTGTTCGGAGCACTTTGACTTCATCTTAAAAAATTGCTCCCCAATGTGAGAGCAGGAATCAAGCAGCAATGCTTGCTTCCTCTTCTTCAGCTTTGGCTGCTTCCTCTTTGGAGTATGGAAAACCAGTGCTTGGCCTCAATATCGGACATAAAGAGGGAGAAAAGCAAAGAAGCAAAAAAACAAACAAAGATTAGCAGAGAGAAGGAAGGAAAGGATGAAATATGCCAGGAAGACTACTCGCTGCAACGAAGACTATTCAAGGTCACTCTGAGAGAACCACAGTTTTGAGGGTGTCTTGCGCAGTTTCCTGGACAGGGGACTCGTTACGTACATGGAATGACCAGAAAGAAATTGCAGTCCAAAATGATTGCTTCCAAACTTTCCAAACAAGCTTCCCTCAAATGGTGCTACCATGTGCTACCCAAGCAATTAATTCTCTTAGTTTGGAGCTGCATGCCCAAGCGACTCGGCCTGTTCTCAAATGGGAACTCGCCAACTTCTTGCCCCTCAAGTCGCTCCCCAGAGAGCCATCTCCTCCAAACATTGTCAAAACTCAAGAATTCTGCCAATCTGGGCCGTAAAGACCTGGATGGCACCACGCAGCTGTTTGATTCTGTAAGAAACTCGGAAACGAATGTCCCACCATTGCCAAGTGCACCTCAGATCTGCTTCAGTCTTTGGGGTGATCAGCAACCCGCGGCCCGAAAAATCAGCACCTCAGGCACACTGCAATCAGAGTTGAACACGACTTTGAGCAACAACTGTTCAAGTGACATACGAACACGCGCACATACATCATAATGATATCGTTCCATGGTTCTCACATGTTCTCACTCACCGTGCCACATAGCCAAACCGAGCATTGCACCCAACTGCGATGAGACCGGGGCCGCAGGTTCGGCCTCACAACTCATCCAACTGTGGCATCCCACCCCCCGCTCCGAGATCGCGAGATCGGTACGTCTAAGCCATCTTTTTCAATGCGCTGAGCTGTCTCCTGCCGGAGCAATGGCCAAGTCATAGCCCCAAACCCACAGAGCCTTTGGCATTAGCGACAGCAAACCAGCGACCCCGAGTTTCTTGGAATTTGTAAACCCAAAGACTCAACCAGACTCAACCAGACTCAACCAGACTCAACCAGACTCAACCAGACTCAGCCATCTCATGGTAAATACATGATAAATACATGGTAAATACATGGTAAATACCAAGACATGATACAATCGATGATACATTCTTATACATGTTCTACGGGTTCTTCAAGACCAGTTCTTCCATGCCCTTCGGTTCTTCCCTTTTCCAGGGCACCTCCTTCATTGCCTCCAACTCCAGCACAGCTTCAGCACCAATCCAGCTGCCAAGTGGAGCCTCATCCAGCGCCTCGGATCCAATGGGAAACTGGATCTATCACTGGTGCAAAAAATGGAAGATAGATGAAGATTCTGAAGATAGGAGATGTTTGGAGAATATAGTGGATACAGACACAGATGGATACAGGATTGAAAAGGCCCTTGCAATGTGGCAGAGCTTCCACATTTGAAAGTCAAAATATGTCAAAATGATTCAAAATGTCTGTTCTTGAACCTTCGTTTTCAGTGTAGCTGAAGAGAACATCTTTGGGAGCCTCCACCAGGCGCATAAACAAATTGGCTCCGCCAAGGGCTTCCTTCTCCCACTTCCGGCCACCATCCTGCAGTGCACTGCACAACATCGAATGTGTTGAGATCAAACACCTATGTAGCCGAATGTAGCCTATGACCTTTGTATGACAACCCTTGGACTCTGTCGGATTTATCAACAAAATCTATAACCGCCCTGCCTTGAGATCTGCATCCCAATCTGGCGGTGGCAGTGGAACGCCCTGAAAATGTCCAAGGATTCACAACAAATTGGGCCGCTCCGATTTCGAAATGACTTGTAAAGAAGTTGTGTCGAGCATGTCCAAAATTCGGGCCCATCACCATTTCATACCATTTCGATTGACCACCCCATGACTGCCAAGCTCAAATTTCACACCAATCAAAGATGTCTCGGCCACTCTCTAGGCCTCTTTCACGACACGAATCTTGGGATCCTGCCGCTCAAGGCAAGACCATTTGGGATCGATGCATCTTCCGACCAAATCAGCAGATGCATCCAGCCTGCTTCATGAGCTGAGTGATGCCAGCCTCATGTCGACTCTTGCGAGTGTTCTTACATTTTCCCATGGCCCTGTAAACTTAATTGGTGACTTTTCATGTCAGCTTATCAGAGGCGGTACAAAAAATAAGACGAGCACGAAAATCAGAGCTGCTGAAACTGAAAGTGGAAGCCATGGCAAGCCATGGCAAGCCATGGCAAGCCATGGCAAGCAGGAGAAATAGGAGAACCATAGGGCCGCGGCCAAATGCCCATCACCAATGATGCCCACAACACCTCGGTGGCATCAGGCACCATATGGCCATACGGCACCATGGA